CATTTTTGATAATATAAGATGATGAGAAAAGTATCTTTTAAAATAGGAATTGAATTAACTATAAATATAACTAGCCACTTTCTTAACATTTTAATTAGGAAAAATAAAAGTTTGTTTATCAATTGTTTACAGTCTTCATTGCAAAAGTTCATTTGAGTAGTCCATAATGTTTCTGAAATTTATTGGACCAATTCTATACCTATAATCTTAATACTTGGAGGGCATCCTTGTTTAAAGAGATTTTGCCAATGTAAAATCTGAAATTGGGCAAAAACGCAAGTGTATTTTGGCAAAGATGTTTTCAGGAATTTTTACCTCCCTTTTGAAGAAGAGGGAACTGTGCTGAAGCCCTTCCAAATCAATAGCTATTGAAAATTCGTATGAAATTAAGTTTTTTTTTTTTTTTTATTTTATTGTTTTGCGCTTTTTTCTAAATGCTTGATTAAAATCATTTTCGTTCTTCAGTTTAAGAAATTTATTGTATAATATTTTGATTATATTAACCAAATTGAGCAAATAAAATTACAGCAAATGATGCATTTTTTATGTTTCCATATATGAAAGAGCAGAACTTAGAAATTCAATAGCAATATACACGACATCAGCTGCAATACATTAAGCAGTGTCTACAGTATGTAGTATATATAGAGACAGTTAAATGTATAATATGTTTATAGAGATCTGTAATTTCTTTCTTTTAAAAATCAAAGTATAATGTTAAATGTATAATATGTTTATAGAGATCTGTAATTTCTTTCTTTTAAAAATCAAAGCTTATCAGATTGTGATCTAAATCAAAATTTTCTTTCCAGTTGAACTAACTCCAGATTTACGATTAAACTGGTTAGATGATATTCCCTATTTCCACTTTGGGCGAAAAACCTATGTTTGCCATCAAGGAAAAGATCTGAATAAACGTCAAAAGGAAAATTATGCTAAAGAAAAAAATGAAAAGGTAAAATAACATTGTTATATTTAAAAATTTATACAAAAATATCACCTCTTGGATTATATATATATATATATGTGTGTTGTTTTTTTTTTTTTTTTTTTTCTTTTAGTGTCAAACTGATCATGCTTTTGGTAAAGCATATTCCAAGAACCAGACAACTAAAAAAGTTAATTGTCCAGCTGTAATTAATGTTACCCGAATGTACAGGATGCCTCAGTTCAAGGTAGAAGTTTATTTAACTTTTTGTTCTAAGATGGTCTTAGTAATTTTAGAGAATTTTTTTTTAAGGAAAAAATATAATTCTGTCACGTATGAGCAAGATGTATTGAAGGTATTCTATGATAAAGTATACATACTTTTTGACATAAAAACAAAAGGTATTTTTAGAGTCACAATGTAAAAAAGAGAAATGATTTTTTGTGTCTCTTTATTCAACATATTTTTCTAAATAGTTTTTTTTTTTTTTTTTTTTTTTTGGCCAAAAGAGGGTTTTTAACAGTAATATTTTCCTAAATAAATAATTCAGTAATTGACATGCAAATAAAATGATGTTTTCAGGCCAGAAATAAAGGCTTTTTATGCTAATTATATTCTAACCAATTTGCTACAAATAGAAATAAGTTGTTCAAAGTGAAGTTTTATTGGTTATGTTTCTTTGAAGAAGTAATTTGATCTATTGTTATAAAAATGGAAGATCCTTTTTACAGCTTTTTTTAAAGGAAAGAAATGAGAAATGACTCCTCTTTTTTTTTTTTTTTTTTTTTTTTTTTTTGAATAATTTGCTATGAACAGAAAGTTTTTAAAATTGAACCTTTATCAATAATTAGTTTTAGATGACTGTGCTGGAATTTCTAAATTTTACTGTGATAAATATGTTTAAATTACAGGTAGTGCCAACCCGAAAAAGAAAGATTATGATATCTCGGAAAATTAAGGAAAAACTAGCCAATAAAGATAGTATTGCTGGTGAAGAAGTTTTCATGTTTAATTTACCTAATAGCCAAGATCATCAAAATCATCTAATGGGTAACATGGCTGCAGTAATAGAACCTATAGATGCTAGAGTGCGGCATTTCATAGCTTCTAAAGTTAAGAATGGAAAATGCAATGCCACTGTAATTGCAGAGCTATTAGAAGTATACGTTTCAACTGAATTGGGAGAAACTGATAAAACGCGCAGACGATTTTATCCAGAAATGGAGGCAATAAGGAAAATAATAAGCCAAGCAAAATCCGATATTAGAACTAGTAAAATTGACCAGGAAAATACAGAAATGTTAATAAATAGCTGGGATACTTCCAAGTGTTCTGTTTTTTTTAGACCATGTACTGAAAATACATATGATGGTACTGAGCCAAATGACTTTACAGATTCAAAACTAAATCTGCTATTTGTATATCAAAGTGAAGAAATGAAAAATTTATATGTCTTATATGGTTCTAATCTTGTTCTTCTCGACGCGACCTATCGAACCTGTAAGTATGCTCTCCCACTTTATTTTTTAGTTGTCAAAACAAATGTGAACTATCAAATAGTGAGCATAATAATTACACAAAATGAAACAGCCAAAGCATTAGAAGAAGCTCTTATAATTATTAAAAATTGGTCGCCTCTCGTTAGACCAAAATATGGGATGGTTGATTTTGCAATGGAAGAAATTACAAGTTTGGAAAATGTCTTTACAGGAATTAAGGTTTTTATATGTAGTTTCCATCGAGAGCAGGCATGGTCAAGATGGGCTTCTAAGAAAAAGAATGCAGTGGTTCCCAAAGAAGAGCTTTTGTGTAAATTACGTGCCATAGCAAATGCTCCAACTCAAGATGAAATGGTTGCAGCAATAGAGGTATTAAAATCATGGAACCAATATGAAGCTGTGAAAGATTATTTTGAATTAACATGGTTCAAGGAAATTGAGAGATGGGCTTTGGCTTACAAACCAAATGACTTATTCATAAACTCGAACAATGGTGTTGAACGCTTAAATGAGGAACTAAAATATAGATATCTTCAGGGATATAAAAACTGTATGCTGTCTGAAATAATTAAGATCTTGGTTGAGAAATTTCTGCCAGAAAGATATAGAATTTACGTCAGAAAAAATCTGAGTATGCTTTCGCAGGCCAGATTATACAATGAACATGTACCAAATTATTTAATCAATAAGCCAAAATGGTTAATTGATCACATAAAAACAAAATTAAGAGCTGCTGAAGTTTATGTGGGTAGTATAAAAAAAAATTTCACATGGCTTCTTTAAAGTTTCTTCTGAAACTAAGCATGATGCAGTTTATTCTGTCACGTTTGATGAACAGAAACAACTGTGTCAATGCACATGCTTAGATTTCAGAAGAAACCGACTGCTGTGCAAGCATATTGTGTTTGCTGGCATGAAGTTTCCAGCCTGGAGTTTGGAATGTACTGCAGAATGGCTATTTTCAACACCTATTTTCAAAGTTGATGAAGATTTAGTCTCAAGAAGTATTTCAGGCACCAGAAAACGAAAATATTCATCAACTGAAACTCCTTCAGGTGGAACATCAGATAATTTACCCACCATATCTGAAGAAGCAACGTTGAGTAAAAAAAGAAATTTGATCAATGAGTGCGATGCAAATTACAGATCAATTCGGTCACTCCTTTGGAATTTAGATAGCGAAAATTTACACAATGCAGCCAACTCTTTGAAGGAGATTTTCGAGTCTGCTTCAAAAACAGTTATGCTAAATGAAAATACTGGTCTACCGCTTCAAATTGAAAAAAAAAATAAAAGAATTGTCAAGAAGTATGGTCAACTAAACCTCCATCGCCGTAGAAATACCAGAGTTGGAATAAAGGTGGATATACATAAAGAAACCATTTCAGTAGATGGCCAGTAATTAAAATTAGTATAAAACCTAAAGCAGGCTACAAAGAGCCTTTGGCAAAGGTGACACCCCCACCTATGAGTGGATAATAGAGTAATCTCGGGGACCTGCATGCCATGGATACACTAATACTTATTTTCAAATAAAATAATAAATTTCATACTTTTAGGATAATCTTAAATACTGAATATTATCATACTTGAAATACTTTAGTATGTGCATTTATTTTCGGATTCTTCAGAATTTATAGTGAAAAAACTGCTACAACTATATACTATCAAATACCAGATTTCAGACAATTAAAATTGACGATAATTCAAAGTATAACATATAAGTTTTGTACAATTCAATAAACATAATACATGTTATTATTTAGTAATATTTATTTCCTGAACAACTTTACAAACACTTATTTGAGAGTCATATAACTTATTTCTATTCAATAATGCTGCAGCTGCATTGATTGTCACGATCAAGACATATGAGCAATATAGTATTTAATGCACTCAAAACTGAATCTGGTAAAGACTTACGGCATATTGGTTACCAAATGCATCTAAAGCAAACCAGTATGCAGGGTTAGTTTTACAGGTTCACTTGTTTTCAAATTAGCAACTCTGTAAAAGTTTTACTCTTGGTTGTACTGACACTGCCTGTTCTTTCTCATATCTAATTGTAGTTATTTGGTTGTAATATGCAGTAAAGGTAAGAACACTGGTGTAATATGCTGTAATTTTTATGTTAGATAGCCCAGTTACATGACTACAACATTTTTCCACTACTTTTTTTACACTGTAAACTCGGTTTAGAAAGTTATTTTCCATGATTTTGGGGTGTTGTATAATACATCATATGGAATAACTACAGTTAAATGTATTCATTCAAAAGAGGATATATTGTCTTGCTGAATCTTTTCCTGTACTTATTGTTTGATTTAATATTTCCAATGTGGTGGATTGACCATCATGGAATCATAGCATCCAGTAGATCTTTCAATATAACTCCATTCAGATATTCACATTTATATTATTGTAAATTAACGTAGAAGACAGATTGACAGATATTCTCAGTTCATAGTGCCAAAGTGTTTTTTTAATAATGCTAAAATACAATTTAAAAAAAAAAAAGATTACTCATGTTATTATGTAGAATTAATGTTAAAATTCCATACAAGAAACAAGCATCGATTAATTGTGTTATATAGAATTAAAGAATAAACAGTCAGGTAGAAATTTATAAATGCATAAAACACAACAAAAGGCAGGGCTGCATTTATTCATCCAGTTCATTGAAAAAGTTGTGGCTTTCCTAGACCCCTACCCCTTGTCGAACATGTAGGTTGTTTCGAATGTTGTCATGAGTAACTAACATAAAATATAATTTTTTCCCCAAATTAGTATGTTATAATTTTTGAATAAAAGAAGAGTGAGATAAGTGGTTATTCTAGCCGAAATAAAGTGTGCGTCGAGTTCCAGTAAAGACCCAAAAATGTCATCTGGGAAAGCTGAGAAAGGGGAAACGAGCTAGCTTTAACCTGAGTCTAGAGATGCATATAATACATACATACAATACAGATAAGTGTGAGTAAACTGGTGCACTTAAATTATAACATAAGTCACAAATGTACATTACAGGTAAAGCATGTCAATTTAAATAATATGTGTATTAAGTATGGCCATAGGCCATTTACAATTATTTGGGTCATTCACATTATAATCGTAAACCCTTATAACAGGGTTGTCTTCAAATCTTTAAATTCAGAAAAACTTCTAAAATCGTAATTTTTTCTATAGAAGAATTTCTATCCTCAGAAAAATAAATGTTAAAGAATTGAAATATAAAATTTGTGCATTTTATGCAGAAAGTAAAAAGAAATTCATTATTTCATTATAAATTTAATCATAAACAAAAATCTGCTTAATATTTTTTAACAATAATAAGAGAATTTCAAAGATTATTTCAAGTATTTCATTTTGATGTCCAGTGATATTAAAAATTGTTTTAAATTTTGACTTACAGATGCCCTAGAGGAGTTGCATGGTATCTAAAATTTCTGTGAAACACAGTTTGAAAACCTTCAGACTACTCGAAAACTTCAGATTATGTGAAAAAAGAAATGTAGATGTAAAGAGCAGTGATTAAAAAGTTTTAATGACCAAAATATTTTCATTCCATCAGATTATTTGTGTATTTTGAAGAAGACACAATCAGATAATAAGATCACAAATAGAGGATAAGTTTTTTTTTTTTTTTTTTTTTGGGGGGGGGGGAATTATTGCATATACCATACATTTTAACATATAGAATATTCTTGGATTGTCTACTGAAAAAAGTACATAATATATGTAAATTTTAATATATAAGAAGTAATGCAAATATTTCAATAAATGAATGGATAAAAAATGGCCTTCTTAAACAACCTCATGTTTAAATTACTTAGAGGAATTTATGCGAACATGTTTCTGTTGGCATTAATTAAACATTAACAAATGTAGATGAACACAAATTGCATAATGTATTTTAATTGAATATATGTTTTGGAATGAAAAATGTAAACAGCCTTAATATACTTAATAACTCGGATTTGTAATGCATATATTTTTATTTCCAATGGCAGACAAAAGTATTTATACAGACACACTATCAAATAAACACACACAAACAAATATATCACACACTAAATAAACAGAGAATAAGGAAGCCTATTTACTACTGCTTGAACATACTCTAGGCTTCCAGTAACAGCCACAGAGATCCTGTACAAAGAGAGCCATGCATTTTGCAGATGGTGGAGGTTCGTATCTTGGGCTTTTATCACAAAGGACGAATACAGAATTTTTTAATCAAAAAGTTTTGCTGAATAATGACGAGTTAAAATACAAGTTATTATGATGGAATTAGCCTTTGGGTATCGGAAATGAATATGTAGTTGAAGAACGAAGGTTTGCTTTAAATTACAGATTTCTAATACATTAATTTAATTATGTGTTTTAAAAATATCATTTTAATATAATATTTTTCTAATACATTTATTTTATTATCCAAAATTATTTTCTAATTAACAGAAAGATACAGCATAACTTTCAGTGATCCATTGTCAAAAAAAGGCTTCTTCTGGACAGCTTAATAATAGTACAAGGAAATAAGCTTATTTTATGCATGCCTTGTGGCATGAGATAATGAATTTCTGAAGTATTTTAAAAACTGTAAAAATATGTACATATACCATAGAAATGATTTTTAACACTAAATAAAATTCAATACGTGCCCATAGTAAGATCAACTTATGAAAGCTTTTTTTTACCAAACTGGAAATCATTGCATAAGGAGGAAAATTTCCAAAAGCCATTTTTTAATTTTTATAATATGACTAACGATAAGGTATTGCTTTTTGATCAATAACATGGGTTGTTTGAACTAATAAAGAAAAACAGCTGAATGCACATATTAGTAACCTTAAATTGCATCAGTATTACAGCGAGTTAATTCTAAATCACAAAACACTTCTGTAAGACAGTCAGACACAGCTGCTACAAAAAATTTTCTATGGAAGTGGTTGTCTTAGGTGATATTTGATGTCAATGTTATTAAATTACCACTTTTGTTATCATCATAGTGTGATATGCATCTCTCTGTGTATACATTTTGAATCTGAAATAATGCATTCAGCATAGCATATATACTTTAGGGATAATTGGGTGTAAAGAAAAGTCAATAAATACAAATTTATTCGCATACAAAAATAATTGTATGGTTAAAATGTACACAAAATGATGAAAATACATAGTTTTTTTTATTATTAATTACCAGATATAAACAGCGCATAAATCTTAACACTAAGCAGGATTATAATTTAAAAAGAAATCAATAGCAAACAAAAATCCACAAAATATTAGTTCACTTGAAGCACTACACATCTTAATATCTGCTGCAAGAATGAAAAAGAAACATGTGCCTACATGAGAAGCAACAGAAAGAAATTGGAGAGTATGGTTAAATAATAAAAACCAAATCCTTAATATCATCTACTGACAGAAAGAGAACAAAATGCAAATAAGAAGCAAATTTCTTAAAAGCTAACAATAAAGAAGAGATTAAAATTAGGATGAACTGTCATATTTTTTATTGACATAAAACATCAGATGCCACTTGAAATCAAATGTTAAGTGAAGTGGTGCCCCCACCCCAGTATAATTTTTCGATGTAGAGAAATGAAAATCGTAGACAAAACAAAATTTATAAATTTCTTTCCTCCAGACATAAGTTTGTGCTGTTTAGTACAAAATTTAAGACACGCATCTCAGCTGTTCGGAGCAAAATTTTAACGCTGTCTTTGCTTGATCATTGTATATGAAACAACACAGTCAGAGAATATTATAGATATTCAAAGAAGGATTCAGTTGGTATTTCTCTAAGATTATATTACATATATAAGAAAGTGCTTGTGTGGTATAGTATTATAATGTTTATAATAACACATTATACTATATTTAATTTTTTTACTAAATCAACCCAAGTTTTAAGGCCCGTTTATTCGTATATATATGCACACACAATTAAGTACACAATATATTAAAATAGATATATCACCTAAAAAAGATATATCCCTATGAACAAAACAAAAATTATGGGTCATTCAAATAAATAAAAATTCAGTGATTCTTTTGCTGTGTTCTACCCTACGTAATTATTACTTTAAATCGTACATATACAATCAGTAGTCTAATATATATATTTTACAATCAGGCATTATTACTACTTAGTCAACAATACAGACATATCTAAATTTTCATTATTGTTTACACTCATTACATGCACAATTGCGGTTTTTTATTTTAACAACAGAAATGAACTAAACATATCAATACTCTTGATCATTGTATCAGCAATATGAGCAAGTTTCTGTGTATCATACAGATTTATTCGCATTGCGCCCAGTCTCGTATACCGCAAAAAAATAAATAAAATAAAATAAAATATGAAGGTGAAGGCCCTTTTCCGTTCCGCAAAATTTTCCACAATTCCGCCTAAAACGTAAACAAAGTATCGAGACTTCGTAATCGATTACAAAGTGCAAAGCTATCAGCTAGTCGTCATCGATGGGGAAAGGAGACTCTTGGCCATCCGAAAAAGCGGCGACCTCAACTCAGTCCGTAGAAGAAAGGTTAGCTCACTTGGGGTAAACAGAAGACGTCACTGAATCTCCTCAGATCAACATAGATTTTTGCATTGATTTAAGCTGAATGTAAGCTTGTGCGCGACTGTGGAAACTCATTTTTTTTTCGCTCTCAAATATAATTAAATTTATATAGCATAATGGTTGGTACGCACTACGCGATTGCATTTTATGCAGGCAAAATGAAAAATAATCAGCAAAATGTATAATTTCATAGGTATACAAACTTACAGTGTGTTTGATTTGATTTAATGTTTAAATAGCAGTGATGCAAGTTATTTTGAATTTTCGGGTTACTTAAATTAATTGATTCATTAATATATATAGAAACTTCTATGCATTTTTTAGTGTATTGCCAACGTTTTTGAATATTGTTGTGAATTGTGACAGATGCATATAAATTGCTTAATAGTTTTAAATTATGTGTATGTAGCTCACTGCTTAATTAACTCAGTTTTACACATGGAAAAATGCCCTGCAACCAGCCTTTTCTCCAGGAATTGAAGTCAATCACCAGTGTCAGCTGATGGGCCTCGTCAATTACTTAGAATACGAGCCGATTGGACTATTAATATAGTACATATGCCAGAAACACAATATCAGTACTATATGGGGTACATTGTAAGCAATAAGAAGGACTAACAACACCATAGGGTACAGAAAGCAACCTATTAAGAAGTCCACAATTCAGCTGGCGAGCAAATTCATTTGTATTATTATACTTAAGGCTATCAGTTCTGGATAATTTAGATACAGTAATTTTGCAACGACAATAAAGCAATTCCTTCAGCAATCTTAATTTTCTGACTATTTAAGGCTTTTTTCTTTCATATTATTTGAAAATGGAGTAATTACACAGCATGCATTAAATGCAATCAAAATTTAGGAAATGTATGATTTAAGAATATAGAAACGTTTAAAAAACAAATATGCTAAATTCTTGTAAAAATATAAAATTTTCATTTTCTATCTGTACTTATAATTTGTTATGATTTGTATTATGAATGAATAATATAACTTAAGCAAATATTTTATTTATTATTGTTTTTAAATTTGCATTCCATTACCATACGTTGCACCATGATATATTTCATACAAAATTTCATTTATAAAATTAAGATCCATATTTACTAAGATTTTGTTGAATGTAGTGTTTTAAAATTTAGTACCAATTTTGACTTTTGCATTTAATTATATAATTTACCTGCCAGAATTATATTTTGCTAGTATCTACGTATGTATCATTATGTCTGTGGGATATTGTACACAGGTCATCATATTAAATAAACATCCACCCTTTTTAATTGTTAACTGAATATGCTAAATGAAATGTAATTTAAGTTATTATATAAACAAATTTCTTTTTTGATACCAAAGAAACACATACAACATTCAGTCCTCTTAATATCTGCCCACCGCGGCCGAGCGGTAAAGTCGCTAAACACTGGTAGTTCGGTCCGAGGTTCAAATCCCGCGAACGGGCTGGCTGCATGGTCCGTTTTCGTGGTTTCCCCATGTGGTAACGAGTATACGAGCCCAGTTTCCCTTAGAAAGACCTCCACGAAGGCATCCTCCCTTCAAGCGCATAACCTTCGGGCTTTGCCATATCACACACACCACCTATTAATATCTAGGATTTACTTCTCTGAAATAAAAATGAGGATGACAATCCAGAAAATGACTACATGTTTCATTTCTTTATATTTTTATAAATTAAACAATACATAAGTGAAATAAATATAGAAACCTAAAAGATAAAATTCTAGATATACAATATTATAGCAAAACATAATAGAGGATATGCAACTGTTCTTTTAATATCGTTTACTCATTTTTTTATATAAAAAGTTAACATCTTCTATCTGAATACTTTGGAAATTTTTATTTTTTATTTTTGCTTAAAAGTAAAATTCAAAGAATTAAGATTTAAATTAAAATTAAGTCTCAATTTTTATATGGAAATTACATAATGCAGCTGCTGATTTTAAAGAGTCTGCTGATTAAGTATTACACTTCCTTTCAGTTATAGCTTGAATAGTTCATTTGTTTATGTTTCTTGTTGCTGCTTTACATCAAGAAATTACAAACAAGTTTTAGAATCTAGCGAGTTATAATTTTATGCAATTTATTTTTTTTAATCTATTAAAATTAATCATATATTACAGGAAAATCTCATGCGAGTTCATCTAAAAAAAAAAAAAAAAAAAAAAAAAAGCAACAAGTAAACTAAGATTTCTAAATGAAACAAATACTGCAGAAACAATTGGACCGAAAGTAGACTTTAGTAAAAAATTAATTTAAATTTCAGCCAAATTAGATTTCAAACATTAGGGACAAGTTTGTACAGCTTTATAGAATAAATATTCTTATTTGAATTTCTTCTATATCGGTAACTCAAGGCTTAATTTCTAAAATTAGAAGTTCCGGAACCCTATGGAGGACCGTTAGTAAGAGAACAAGAGTAAATAAATAAATAAAATGACTATTAAATCATTTAGCATTTAAAAATTAATAGTTAATTATTATCAAATTATAAATAATAACTTAATTAATATTAGCATTTAATATTTATTAATTATTATCTAACATTAATTAATAATTGATTATTATTTATTAAATAATTCATAAAATGTAAAGAGGTAAATTAACATTTAATAAGCGGTTTTTAATGTAATTTTTATTGCTGCTAAAAATAAAATTTTTGAGATTAAATTTCTACTGAATTGTAGTTCCGTTAATTATATAAAAGAAGTGCCGGAGCCTTCTTATGTAGAGCTCCGGTGCGCTTCGGCTAGAATTATGATTTATCCCATGAACTGAAAGTACCGGAGCCGGCGCAATTTAAGCTCTGACTACACAACATATTTTTCAGTTTTTGTGAAATGTGGGTTTTCAGTCTATTGAAGCTAAAATGAGTAACGGTATAAACAACTGAATCTTGAATGGCAAATTCTATAAGGAAGTTTGGAAGATTTTTGGTGAAACAAGAAATTACTGAACTTTTCGAAATTAAGACTTATTCTATACAGTAAACAATATTTTAGGTAGTTAAGTTTCAATTCTAAATATTAGAATTTTTACATTTCCGATGAAAAACAGAAAATTATTTCAAAAGGAAATACGAAACTACTATTAGGAGATGCTACAGCGAACATCAGTGACGTCACAGCCGAACGAGTCGCTGGATTTTCGTTTGTTTACTCCAAAGTGAGCTAACCTGGTTCTTTCTACGGACCTTGCTCAAAGTAGGCTTTAGCAAATTAAAATAAATTTAAATTTCAGCCAAATTAGATTCCAAACATTAGGACAAATTTGTAAAGCTTTATAGAATAAATGTTCTTATTTGAACTTCTTCTATTGCAAACATTTAAACATCACTACGTATTTTCCAGTTCTTGTGAAATGTGGGTTTTCAGTCTGTTGAAGCTAAAATGAGTAACGGTATAAACACTGAATCTTGAATAGCAAATTCTGTAAGGAAGTTTGAAAGACTTTCGGTGAAACAATAAATTACTGAGAGAACTTTTCGTAATTAAGACTTATTCTACACAGTAAAGAATATTTTAGGTAGTTAAGTTTCGACTCCAAATATTCAAATTTTTACTTTTCCGATGAAAAACAGAAAATATTTTCAAAAGGAAATACGAAACTACTATTAGGAGATGCTACAGTGAACTTCAGTGACGTCACAGCCGAATGAGTCGCTGGCTTTTCGTTTGTTTACCCCAAGTGAACTAACCTGTTCTTTCTACGGACCTTGCGTTAGGTTTGCTTCAGCCCCCTCCCAACTTATTTACATCTTCTCAAACGAAAGTGACGTCTGGCGAGCAACCGAGAGTGTGGAGCTCTGGGATAGATGAGAACCCAATGTCTAGGCCACTCCTTGGTCTAGGCGCTTGTGTCTGTCCGTAACTATTGTTTTGGTCCGTAGCTTATGGAGGTGAGGTTTTGCCAAGTTCGTTGTTTTAGTTTTTCTGTTACTCAATGCTGAACTTCCATTTCAAAAATGAATTATGCTTCGTATAAAAAGCCTGAGACATCAGGTAAATTTCATATAAAGCCCCAATTAACTATATGAGATTTTAGCTGTCAAAACTTAATAGTTAACGGTTTTTTATATTTCATTTAACAAAAGCATATTTTCGAATAAGCATGCCATTTCCTCCAAAACATGCAATTAATAATAGCGTTAAAATGTGTGTTGCCATGCTAAAGAAACTAGTTTGTAAATGAGAAAACAGACATTTTATGATATATGTAACAGCTAAGCTACGTGGATGAATTTGATAAATGCATATGGATAGCCACACCTATAAGGAAAAGTATGGATGTGAAGCTTGTATCAAATCATTTGCAAAAAAGCGAGATTTAAAGCAACATATAATGGTTGTACATGCAGATGAGAAACTTTATGCATGTGATGTATGTGCCAGTTCATTTGCAGAAAAGTCTTATTTACGGAAACATTTGCTTATTCATGCAGGGAAAAAACGTCATATATGTGAGATCTGTAAAAAGTCCTTCTTACGAAAAGAGCAGCTGGTATCTCATGCACGTACCCATTCCGGAGAGAGACCTTATACATGTATTACATGTCACAAGTCATTTTCTTCAAAGCAGAATTTAGTGAGACATGGACGTGTTCACACAGGAGAAAAACCTTACATATGTACTGTGTGTAATAAGCCATTTTCAGAACAATCTGTGCTACGCATGCACGTGCGTTTACACACAGGAGAGAAACCTTTTGCGTGTGATATGTGTGACAAGGCATTTACACAAAAGCAGGCCTTAAGGTCACACATGCTTATTCATTCAGGGAAAAGACCATTTTCATGTGATGTATGCAAGGAGACATTTGCACGTAAGCAGTATTTAACAAAGCATTTATTTAGCCACAAAAAAATTATATGTTATATATGTAATGAATCGTTCACACAGAAATGTGATTTAGAAGCACATATACATATTCACATGAAAAACAAACCTCAAGACTGTTCTCTATGTGACAAATCATTCATAACAAAATATGATTTAGAAAAACATATACATACGCATACACAAAAGAAATCTCATATATGTTTTATATGTAATGAATCATTTGCACTTGAGAAGACTTTTGTGGAACATTTATATATCCATAATGAGGAAAAATATGCTTGTGATGTATGTAATAAGTCATTCATACAAAAGTGTGATTTAATTGAACATCTGCGTGTTTATACAGGAGAAGAGTCTCACAGAATTGATATATGAAACAGGCTGTTTAGATAAAAGCTTGATTTGTTCGTCATATTCAGATTTGAAGGGGGAATGTGTAGTTTTCATGGAGGGTTTGTTTATTCAAAATGGCAGAGGATATAAGAATTATCTGATTATGGAAACTATTTTAAGAGAAAAAAAACCTATCTTTATTCAAATGACATGCATCGCAGCCAATTCATAGCTAAAATTTATTATTGAATATGAATAAAATTGGTTCTTCCATATTATTACCTTAGAAGGGTTAGTCTTGAGCAGCATTTTGCATAGGATCACTATGCAAACTATAAACTGCTGTATAACTTGTGAAATTGTTGCCACCAAATATTATTGCCCTGTACTATATTTAAAGAAATTAAATAATGACAAATCTGCATGAATTTTACTATCTATTTCATATTTATTAAGATTTTACAGATTTTTGGTAAGAAACACGATGATTTCAAAGTAAGCTGGGCAACACACCGTGCGGAATAAAATATCACCAGCGCATGAGACTGTCTATCAGAAATTCTTAAGGTATGCTGTTTTAAAATATTTTTAGCCCAAATATTTTAAAAGCTTATATGCAAGTGTAAATGGAAGAAGAAAAAGAAAAAAAAAAAAAAAAAAAAAAACCACTCCATTGGCATTATATGAAATCTGAAAGCTTTTAGAATTTTTTATTGTTTTCATTATTTAAATAGGACCAGAAGCCCTTTTGTTTGTGTGCTGCACCAAAGAGAAATCTCTGCTCAGAAGTCTTTGCAAAGTGTTGCCGAATGTCGGCCAGTCCTAGCGACAGTCACTGAACACTTTGTCATTATGTGGTGGGAAGATTTCTGAATTTTGGTTTATAAATGAAAAATTGTTAGATTTTGACTTGGAAAAGAGAAGAATAAAATTTTAAAAAATCTTTAAAAAGTGGTTATAAAAGCAATTAAGGTTTTTATGAAAATATTTTTTTTATAAAAATTATTAAATATCCTAGATTTTTAAACAAAAAGGAAGAAGATACTTTCTGATTATCTGCTTCTCTTCCGTCTCTGAAAAAAAAAAAAAAAAAAGATGCAAAACCGTTGATGATTTTATAGAGCATATGCAAACTCACTGGGGAGAAACTTTTGCTTGGGTATCGTTACGTCAATTTCAACAATGTGTCCAATGCAGCATATTTACCATCTTTTCCATAGAGGAATGTTCTCACTGTATATACAGTAATCTGTTTTTCCTAAAAAAAAAAAAAAAAAAATGGGTTTTCATCCGCAGAGAACCCGTTGCCACTTCGGGAAAGAACCCGCATTTTTACTCGCCAAGCTCGCAGTTCATCGACAATGAGCCGAGCCATAAACATTATATTTTGTAAACATGACTTTTAGTGCATGTAAATTCAAGTTAGCACATAAAACAATATATTAAGCATATGGTAGTAAAAATTCATACATAATAAGCATGTAGATGTAAAACTAACTGGTTAAACGTGATATACGAAAATAAATTTGTATTAAATTAAAGTTAACACAGAAAAGAATATACAGTCAAAAATTGTTAATTTGGATACCCATAATCCGGACCTCAAAGCTACAAACTTTCTGCGCATGCGTCGCGTTGACATAGGCATTTAGGCATCCGCGTAAGACCTTTATGGCTGCGCATAATACGTTTACGCATGCACGTTTAATGTATAACGGACAGTATAAGCTAAAATTATCTAATTATCTATTTCAGTTAATGTTGCAGATTACGTTGTTCATTAATCTTCGAATTGGATCCAGCTTATTATTTTTTGCAGACTGTTAGAGCAATTTGATAAAAGTAAGCTTGAACTTTCGATTATGTCAAATAGAATTTCCGATGCTGGAGCTTCCAAAGGATCTACAAAGCGAAAGTATGTTTCAATGTTTCTGAAACAAAAAGTGGAATTGCTGCAAAAAATGGATAAAGGCATATCCTTTGTTTCTCCAACCATTTCGAAATCTGTTTATCAATTTCACGCTGCTCTGCGGCAAGGGGGGGAATGGTGTGGCGCACAATGAATTGGAAGTTGATCTGTCAGCACTATCCTTATCTTCAGGGCAGATGTTTTTATTTTATTTGGCTTATAATTCCTTACTAAATTTAGTATTTCATCTCGATATATTCCGTCTTTGATATGATTTAAATCTAATTCCTCCTCATTATAATTCACTTCCGATAGTAAAGAAAGTGACACAGAGGTTATTGAAAATGAAAAAATTTCGATTGACAAATTAGTCGGTATTCTCGACACAGCAATTATAGGACTTGAACGGCGGAACTTTGTAACTGAACAAGAAAATTATGTCTGTTTATAGAATTAAAGAGAAAGTATTATCACATAAAACGAAGCAACTTAAACAACTTACATTGAAAGAATGTTTAATAAAGTAAACAAATAAATATTAAGCCTTTTTTCTTTGTAAATTTTGATACCATTTAAATCATAATTGTTCTTTATTTCATAAGTTACGGTTTCATATTTTTAATTTTATAATTTCTGCATGCCATCTTACCAGATTTAAACTGATAATCTATAATCTGGAATCGCCGAAGTCCCGACGAGTCCGGATTAACGACTTTTGACTGTATTATTAAGCATAAGACAATATATAAGCATTTATAATGGAAATATAAATTAATATTAATATACTGAAATTAACCGGTTAAACGTGATATACGAAAAAAATTTGTCTTAAATTCCAGTTAACACGGAAAACAATATATTCCTTAACCAGCAGTGGTTTGCTAATTTTGATGGCCATGGTGATGCATCAAACTATTCTGTCATCTTAGATAATCAATATTTTTTATTTCAATTTAATCATCTATTTATGTCACACCTGCCATCCTCTGAAAGGTTATTGTTAGAAAAGCCTTAATATATTATCTTGTTAAAATTTTACGTCATAAAAATTGATTTATTCTCAGAATTTTAGATGACAATAACCAGTAATAAAAATAAAAGCATTACTTAATTATTTAAAATGCATATGCACATTTTTGCGGTCTACGAAAACAAATTATTTTAAACATTGGAAACCTTGTGGTTCTTAGAGCTGTTAATAATTAAGAACACAATGTGAACAGCCGTGTTACAAATTAGCATTCACCCCTCCTTTCAACCCGAACCGAGAACCGGCATTTATCTACGAAAATATTTCTATTTGTTGTGAAAAAATTCAGAAAAAATAATAATAAATAAGAGAAGAATAATATAAATCTACGAATGCGAACGACAGTGATAATTCAACAAATTAAACGCAAGAGGAATGGTTGCATACTTCGAACAAGCGAATAGGATATATCCAATGTGTTACCAGGTTTGAACTATTATCGCCCAAGTTGGCAATGTTTACATTTACCGGGTTCTCTGTGGAAGTGCTTCCAAAAAAAAAAAAAAAAAAAAAGCACATCCAGAGAATTGATTGGGTACTTACTGTTGAACAGGGAAAAATTTTCTAAAAATTGTCAAAAAAAAAAAAAAAAAGTGAACAGTTGCCACTTTTACCACCCGCTGTTGCAGGTATATGATAGCACTAAATTTTAAGAATGCCTGTAAGCTGCAGTTTATACTTTGATCATGGGTCTATGGGGTCTACTAAACAATGAAGGTAATGCTATTAGTTTCTTGCAAGAGTATAATATAATAAAGTGCAGAATCACCCACTGCTTGGTGCATTTTTAAGAATTGCACATACTCGGTATCCATGTACATATCGGCCCAGCAGAGGCCGAGTGGTAAAGTCGCTGAACACTGGTAGTTCGGTCCGAGGTTCGAATCCCGCGAACGGGCTGGCTGCATGGCCGTTTTCGTGGTTTTTCCCCCATGTGTAATGTGCATACGAGCCAGTTTTCCTTAGAAAGTCCTCCACGAATGCATCCCTCCTCCTTAGGCAGATAGCCCTAGTGTGCTTTGCCATAATTAAATAAACCAAACCATGTACATATCGACATATTTTCACTTAAAAAAAAAAAATCAGAGAATCAGAAAAAAAATCAGATATCAAATGCCTACATTTAAATTATGTAAGATTTTGAAAGTAAAATGCACAATTCAGACATAAGTGGCTAAGTGAAGCCAAACTTGCACAATTTATTCCGGAAGAAGTTTCAAAGAAGAGATTACTTTGTATTTAGTTAATCAACATATGCAAGTTATGAACCAAAAAAAAAAAAAAAAAAAAAAAAAACTTAAATTGCTTACCATAATTTGTCATGTTACTCAGCCTATGTGTATCCATTCTACGTAAATTGCACTGTTTTGATTTCAGGATCCTGTAAATTTGAAAATTCTGTAGTATATGCTGTTCCTTCCCAAATTTTCATAATTTTTTCAAAATATGATTGAAAAATAGGTAATAACAATTTACTTACATTGTTTTTTAACAAAAATTAAACAGTCTTTGAGAATTAACTGGATTTATATAAATATAGAGTATTATATCATGCTTATTCATTTATTGATGCTAAATTGCATTATTTGGGAACATTTTTTGTTCGATTCGAATAGTAGTACTCTTTGTGTTTTAGCAGATTTATAAATTTCTTCTGTTGATCTTACTGTATAGTGCCAAATAACCATAAGTTTTCCAATTTGCACATTTTAGAATGCATATGCAAAGTATTGAGCTGCTATAAGCTATTTAAAATGGCATAATGAGAAATAAGGGTACTGTGAGACCCCTTTTGGATTCGTTCTTAGTTATGTTCATGTGATGATAGAGAGTTGTAGCTCACCTATTTTAGAAGTGATTAGCAAATATTTTTTACCTAACTGGAAGAACTAATTATATCAAATCGCCGTCAAAATTAGCAAGATCTCTTCTGATAACACGTAAGTATTGCAAATTCCACAAACTTTGGCGTGATTACAATTGTCCAAAAACAGCTGAAACTCCAGCATAATGAATATTAAACTGAGCATCTACACATTCATTATTATTCACGATTACAAAAACAAGTGTCATCAATGCAAAATAAATAAATAAAACTAATCAGAAAAATTACTATTGAAAATACAAAAATGCAGATTCACATGTGGTACATGCTTACCTAGGTTACCACATAAATATGTTTTCATGACATGTTATCGTTCCTGATCAGTACTTTTTCGTGGATTTTTGATAAGAGTGCAGATAAGCAGAAAGTACGAAAAAAATTATAAAAGGCAAATAAAAAGTTACTTTTTATATTTTTAAAGCATTTGTTAGTATTCTAGTCTGAGTTTTTTCACAATTGTTTTTACAAAAATTGAGAATTTATTTTTAACTTGCCATTCTGATCTGACAAAAATATTATTTTTAATTCTTATCATAATAAAAGTTAAGTATGAACCCATGTGAATGTTTACATGTATTGCAGTCTTGCTCAATGCATTTTCAGC